CTGCCCAGGGAAGTGGTTGAGTCCCCATCCCTGGAGGTATTTAAAAGACGTGTAGATGAGGCGCTTTGGGACATGGTTTAGCGATGGACTTGGCAGTGCTAGGTTAACGGTTGGACTTGATGATCTTAAGGGTCTTTTCCAACCTAAACAACTCTATGATTCTATGTTGCAAAGGGGCTACATATTCTTGAAAATAATGCTAGTACCGAGAAGTCAATAATGCCACATAATAATATCAAGCAAATCACTGAGTTATATTTGTCTTCAAGAAATACAAGAATTTTTCATAGTACTTGATCTGTTAATGGGCAAAGTGAGATGAACATTACCGTTATTTTAATAAAAGCCCATTCAATGAACATCCAGGTTTCAATCATTAAGTTTTATACTCCTCATGGTAGAATAGAGCTATTTCAATACCATCCCTGAAGACTTGAAATTATCATTTGACTTTACACAATAGGTCTCTTCAGAAAGATAAGATACATAGTACTTGATCTGTTAATGGGCAAAGTGAGATGAACATTACCGTTATTTTAATAAAAGCCCATTCAATGAACATCCAGGTTTCAATCATTAAGTTTTATACTCCTCATGGTAGAATAGAGCTATTTCAATACCATCCCTGAAGACTTGAAATTATCATTTGACTTTACACAATAGGTCTCTTCAGAAAGATAATATACTATGTATATACATTTGTAATACAGACCTTTCAAGAGTAAATATGGTCTCAAGGCTACGCCTTCTCTATATGTCCTTTTCCCTATTTTAGTTCAGCATGACAAGCTCTTAAGTCTAGAGCAGCCTCTGACCAATACCAGACACAGTATTGTGAAGCACCTATTTGGCTTTTTACTTAATGGAAATTAAGATCTACCGTACTGTTAGTAAACCTGAAATGAAATTTACTTCTTGTTTCTCATGACTTGTGACAAGTAAACCTGAAATGAAATTTACTTCTTGTTGCTCATGACTTGTGACATAATACTGGAAACACCATTTTTAACATGCTCAATTTCTTTAATGAACTACTACAGTACAGTACATGCTCCTCTCTGCCAGTCATCCAGACATTTGCTGTGCAATCACCGGGATAAAGTTGACCAAAACTCCTGAAACTTCTATTACAGAAATGCTACCTCTAACATTTCAGCTACTACATAATTTCTCTTGCCTCTCCTAGAGAGGCAAGGTGGAAATCTAGCTGTGTCAATAAGGTCACTTACCTCGACTAACTTGTTGGCATGTTCACGGAAGACCTGAGCATACTCCTTCACTTCTTTCTCATTACCACTTTTTGCAGCCTCAATGAGAACCAGTAATGGGACATTGGTCTCCAGGAATGAATCCGATATATGATCCATTACTGCCTTCCGTAGCTGTGACAAAAGAAAGCAGACCAGTAAATAAAAGGAGAATTATCAATTACATTCCCACTGTATTCATTGGCTACTTATATTTAAACATTGATGTGTCACATCTCACAGCATTGTGTGGGAGTTTGGGCTTTATTCTTTCTTTCTTTATTCCACGTTATATATTTGCAGCAAGCATACACCTATCAAACACTTAAGGGCCTAGCTCTGCAAAACCCTCCTGAGATTCATCATTCATCACACATCTAATCCTACTGGACTGAATGGATCTATATAGGACAATGGTGATTACCCACATAATACATTGCAAATTGATGAGAATTGAAAGCTGCACACTACTTTAAAAAACAGTTCAGCTCACTTAAAAGCCAAATATGGATTAAGGAGCTTAACTTCAAGCAACCATTAAAAATATTACCCTGAATATTTCTAAGCCATCTCTAATTCCTGCACTGAATAGTATTCTACGCAGTGAGTATTTCATTTAGCACACGCCTTGTGGTTCGTATTCTCTTTCAAATACCTCCAACAGGTATAATCAGAAAACCTTTCTAAGCATTTTCCAGGACGATTAGAAAACATACTACAATTTATTCCAAAGGAAAAAAAAACAACACCCTGCAAGTTACCAAAGATTAAACACCTGTTATTTCATAAAAACATCTGTTTGAAACAATATTACTGTAAGAATGATGACACTAACTTCTTCTCTACCTTGCTAATAACCACTAATTAATGTCAAACTTCACTAAACTTTGAAAGACAGCCAGAAAGATGACTGAAATCTTAAGTAATTCTTCCTGGAAGCTTAATTGCTCTATAGGACTATGGATCAGAAACATTTTTAGCATGTTTTCTCCAGCTTTTTGGGTTTTAAGAATGAAAAACTGTGGACTCAAAAACAAGCTGGGAGCTATTCAGCCTGGAGTTCTGGCTAGCCATTAGTCTCCTTCAGTCATGCATTTTTAGTTAGATGAAACATCAGGAAAAGTAATTTTCTCTATTTTGCAGTCCAGACAAGATAGCTCTAGCTAGACAAGGTGTCATCAAAACACCCAATCATGCTGAGAGCTGGTATATTGTTAGACACTAAGTACATGATCCAAGATGCATTTCCTGTTTGACAGCAGCAATTGTCAGCTCTATTTGAATAAGGAGCAAGCAAACTTTGAATATTTCCATTCAATCCCTGAGCGGTGCAGTAAAAACAAGCAAAGCAAAATAGCATATATGGGTTTGCATATGGCATTCCTTTTATTTCTATTACAACTGAAGAAGCCAATATGTTAAGAACAGCAATTCTTAATTCCCCTTAAAAATTAATTCTACTCAGGTTCTACCTGGAAAGTATTTTTTCCAATCCCAAAATGATTAAAGGCACTCAGAATAGCTAACACAGTAATACATACAAACAGAGGGGGGAAAAAAAGACCAAAAAAAAAAAAAGAGAGAAGAAGAATATATCAGAAACCTGCCAACAGTTAGGAACCTGTGTGTGGTTGCTACTACCTATCACCTTGTCCTCCTTCTTCTTTTCTCTCATCAATCTGCTGATATCCACTTGCTGACTCTTATTTTATTCTTATATTGAAAGCTCTTTCAGACTGTCCTTTGGGCCTGTTTGCACAGCATCTTATACAATGAGATCCTTATCCATGAACAGTTTTCATAGGTAGCATCTCAATACAAAGATAAACACTAATATTGCTCCAAATATATCAAAGCATTGCAAACAAAGAAAAAATACACTGAGATGTTAAGTGTCAGAGACTAGTGTACCAGCATAGCACTCTGCATTATATGCCTGATAGATTTCCAATCACTATGTACATCAATCCTTCCCTAATAAATGAAGGGTTTCATCTATAGCCAGCATTAAGGGAGAAACACTGCCAGAGAGGGTTCATCTCATGTTTGCTTAATCACCCTCTGCAGATGTCCATCTCCCAACACTTGCTGAGAAGCTCTGCTCCCAAGTTAGATGTCTCACTTCAGGACCTACAGTTAGACTTTTTGAAGTCCATTGGACCGAAATATGCCAAACTGTGGCGTTTCCAAAGGAACACACAACAGCTTTCAAAATCCCATGTGGTTTCCATCTGTTCTCAGGGAAAATCCTTTAAAAAAAAAATCCACTTGCTCAAGTTCAATGCCTACCGTCCACTGCACTGGAAAAACTACTTTAAATGTTAAATGAACACTGACAGTTTTCTGTTTATATCGTTCCATAAGGAGGTATCTGTTTCAAAGTGTTGTGTTAAATGAACAAGCTATTCAATTTTTAATCAAGGTTAATGCAGTATTATAGATCCAATTATAACAACATGCCCCATGGAACTAAGAAAAGTCTCAGGACGTTTAAGTACGCAGCTTATTTTCATCAGTATTAAATACCTTCAGTCTACAACCACATACTAGAAATCCATAAAAAAGGACAGTAAGAGCATCAGCTGACCAGCAATTTGGGGTTTACCATTGTAAATATACAGTAGAGTTATATCTGAAGAAAAATGAATGAATAAAATGGATATCTTGTTTCTAATGGTAACTGTATGTTGCCTTCTGCAGTTCAGAGTTGCAGTAGCTGAAAAAAATCTGAGTTCTGACTGTCACAGGTTTGATAACTAAAAAATTAACAAATTCTATTTTCCCGTGCTGTGTTAATCATGGATGTCAGTAGCATATTTCTGACCCCTCATGTAAACACGCATTATAATTCTTTAGAAATTGGTTATCTGAGTTTTAGGATGCCCTTGCATTGAAGTTGAAAGGTATAGTTAACGGTTTTTATATACGCAGGAGACCACAAATTTTGCTATCCATCACCACAGGCTATAAAGAGTGACTTGACAAAATCATTTGTTAAATGTGACAGGAGTATGAACATAAGACATTCATCCAACAGCCGAAATGTGTATGTGACAAGGTAATATTAATTGCACAAGACAAGACATTTAAAAGTCTTAGCTCAGCATTACCAGTCTATTTGATCCAATTAGGGCTTTTCATCAAGGTAAATAACTACTGGAAAACTAATCTTGTATGTTCCTCTGCATACTGCAACAAAGTCCAGCCAAAGTGATGGCTTATGCATCCAGACATTTTACTGTTTCATACAACCAACATCAGGAATGGGAGAAGTCTGTGACTTGAATTTAAATGGTCATAAAACATGCGGTGAAAACACATCAAGTTTTATTCTAAAAACAGTATGAGATCTTGCGCTCGTACATACATTAACAAATGTCATTGCAATGCCTTAATTTACCCTGCATTCTGATGTAAATATTATGACACAAACTATTACTCATAAGACAATGCTTTAGGTTTTTTTTCCCCACTGAATTTTTAAGTTAAAGGTGACTTCAAAGTGTGGGTAGTTTCCACTACATGAAACGCCATTTGTTACAGGAGAAAGCACATTAAAAAAAAGGTCTTGCTTAATTCATTTTGTCATGGAGAAAACTTTATTAATTAACATATAGCTAAAAGAATAAGAAGTTTGCCAGAGCAGCAGAAGGGTATGAAAGGAAAACATCAAGGCCTGCAAATATTTTTAAAGTATTGAATAGCGTACCACAAGGCAGATTTAATGTCTTTCCAGTTCAGTCAATTTAGTCAGTTTATGGTGCAGAGTCAGTTGCTGTTTTTGATAGCATCGTGTTCTACTGTTCTAAGCACTATTTAGGGCTGTTTTATCATTGTCGGTTCACAGCTATAATTGAGCTCAAAGAGGTTAAACTGCCCACTGAAATGATGTTTTCTGTGGCTATATAACAATTTTAGAACCAAAATGTCTTACTGTTACTTACAGTCTAGTAAAGAATTAAATGTCTAATCCTGACACTGGAAGGTAAAGTCTCAGCAGGAGATTAATGACTCCAACAGATTGTTAAACTTTATAAAGACTGGCAGTATAAAGCTATCTGGAACAAAAGTTTACCGAGGAGCACCTTATTCACCATTTTCTATTTAACATGCATTACAAGCTGAGCCCAACTCCAGTTTGCAGCTGCAGAGCGCTCCCAAACAGGCATTAATTTAATTGAAAGAGATGAAAATAAAGTCTTCTCCACTGCAGTTAAAGTGTCTCCTCCAGTATATTGTGAAATTGAGTTCTGGAGAATAAGACAGTGACCATTAGAAGCTACTGCAGTAGAGTGCTGAAGAGAAAGCCTCAGTCGATTCTGCACACTACAACCCATGAAGATGGGACCAAAAAATGGTAGATTGGGGGATGTGGACGCTAATGCCATCAATTATGTCTTGACAGATTAAACAGCAAAAAAGATTAACATTTGAAGCATGTGTCACACTTGGACACTCAAACTACAGATTTCTGGAATATACTACATAAAAATATTTAAGATTTGAGGCTAAGATAAAAACTCAGGAGGAAATGCTCTTACAAAGACTGATCATACTTCTTCATATATTTTTCAGTGTGTGAGTCTTCTCTCTAAAGAGCAACTTCCCCAGTCAGGGAGAGCCTGGGGATGAATTTACTAATGGAAAGCAACTTGAAGTGACAAGTTTTAACCAGAAATTTGAAAGACAATAAGACATGCAAAACAAGTTCCTCCTAGGTGTAGGTCACTACAAAGGATTCCTCAAAATGGCATATGGCCAGAAGCACAGAAGAACTTAGTTACCAAGTACTTAGGTACCTAATCCTCACTGGTTTTGTTTTTGGTTTTTTTTTGGGGGGGGGGAGTGTTATCATTTTTTGTGACTTAGAAATTTTACACTGCCTTTTCAACAAATATTTTTTGGCAAGAGCGAGCCTTGGGCTTGCTAACAACATTAGGGCAGTTACATAAAAGCAGAGAAAAATGTATAAGCTTGGGGGACAGATGTCCACATACCCCCCAAATATATGAGTATTATCAGGGCAAGAACTCTGTCTTGTTTCATGTCTGGATAGAATAATAAAATCCTAATGCCAATTGGACTGCTTGCATAGTACCAAATATTTATTATTTCTACTAATAAATAATGATACA